AGCGGAGGCTGGGGAGAGATCACCTCAGCCACGTGTCTCTGCCGGCCCCACCACTGCCCACCGATTGGCAGTGTGGCTCTCCCGCTGCTAGTCAGGGGGAAGACGCTAGCTCAGGGCTTCTGGAAATACTCCGTCTGCCTGCCTGAGTCTTGCCCAGCGATGAGGCTTGTGCCTCACCGTAAGAGCCTCACCGTAAACCCCCTTCACGTGGGATGGATCATCTACCGCATGTCTGAAATCCCAGCCCCGGCTCGGGGCGCCTGCGGCAGGGACTCCCCCAGGTGAACGCTGCCGTGCGCAGGGCGAGTTCCAGCTCCCCTTGGTGTTTACTTGTGAGCGTTTCCAGTTGGACTGCCTGTCGCACAACCGGGGGGGGGTTCATCGTTTGTCGCTTGGGTCGATTTACATCTGTGGCCCGGCTGTGGCCCGCTCAGGCTGCTTATTTCACGGCGGCGGAGAGGGCCGGAGGTGAAAGCTTTCTAGCTAGGCGGGTCGGCGCCACGTCTCAAGGTGCAAATGGAGCCCTGCAGCCCAGGGTCGGCAGCTGCGTGTTTCTGGTTGGCCACGCGGTCGCGCTGGGGACGTTGCTGGTCGGCTTCGGGGGGCTCCGTGAAATCAGCATCTGCTGGCACAGATCCAGGCCTTCCCGTTTCCTACCCGTGGCTTCAGCCTGAGGCACTAAGTCTAAGGCGTCTCTCTCGCTAGTGGGCGGGGCGGAGGAGTCGCGGTGTATGAGGTCCGTCCCTAGGCTGACGACCTCCGTCCGGCCCTCCTCTTCCTTCTCTCTAAGCCAGGTCACACTCCCCCGAACCCCCCGGCCCCGGGGTTTCCTTCTCTGCCCTCCCTGCTCTCTCCTTCTGCACGTCAGGCCATCAAACCTCAATTCTCTTTCCTCCAGGGCACCTGCTGGTGGGGGCCCCCGGCCCCTGGGGGGCCAGGTCTGTGTCTGGGCTCCCCAGAAGGGGCCAGACCCCGGGCTCTTCAGGGCTGTGTTGAGGGGAGAGGAGATGCGCCAAGACACCCAACTCACACTGGCAGTCAAGGAGAGTTAGGTCCCTGGCTGGGATGTGCTGCTGCCCCCACTCCCTGCCCGGGTTATGCGGCTCCGAAGTCCCTCGGCGGCCCCGGCCCCTGTCTAAAAGCTCTTTGTTTTTGCAGTGCGCCACTTCCTTCAGAGCGGCATCAGCGCCAACGTGTCCAATGAAGATGGCCTCACTGCTCTGCACCAGGGAAGCAGCCTCTCCAGGTCCCTGCTGGCAGGGCC